AGTGGACGTGAGGTACCCCCACTAAGCAGGAGTCCAGACTAGGCGAGTCCCCCCTTTTCTAGCCAGCACCAGCACCATCTGTGGGGATCGGCGGTAGCCAGCTGCAGTTTTGCGTCCCTGGAGCCTTTTATTTTTCGTATTTTTATGTTTTATTTATTTTAGTTTTTCTCACGGCCTCTAGTTTTATTTTAATTTCTTCTAATTATGTAAAGTAAAACCTTTTATTTTCATTCATTTTTATTTACGCATTTTATAAGAGCCTATATAAAGAGCCTGTTTATGCTAGACTCTCTCTTGGGTTGTTGGCTCGTGAGTGCTGCTCACGGAGCGCCCGGCCTCACTGGACGTCTCCTGTTTTGTTGTTTGTTTCTTCGATTTCCTACAAGAGAGAAAGATAAGTATATTCATGTTTTGTAAGAGGCCAGTTAGGATGTGTTATATGCATTGTAACTTTTGTGAATATACAGACTGAGGGGATCTCAGGTTTTCCTTTTTATGCTTTGGTTTTTTTTTATCCTTGGTTTGTTTATTTTACTTTTTATTGGTTTTAAAAGGAGAATGGACACAGTTGATAATGAAGTTAATGTAATAGTAAGTCTTACGGGGTTAAGGGCTTCAGGGTTGTGACGAGCGGGTCATGCTGCAGTACACGCCAGCTACCACCCTTTTGAAAGCAGCTCCCCTGTTCGCAAGTTGCACTCTGCAAGACCCGCGTTGTAGTTTTGAAAGTGTCTCAAAGGGGTAATCACTACAGATCCTTTGCCCCCGCGGAGCTCTTCGCGCCTTGGCACGTCCGCCGCCCGAGCCGTCCGCGGCGTTCCATAATCAATATGTCTTTTTGCTCTGCATCTTATCCTCGGCGAAGGCCATTCATTGGCGGTGATTACGCATGCTTTCAAGGTCACGGTTTTCCTTTTTGCTCTAGTTTTATGGTTTCCGTTCTGTGCAGAGATGATGATGATATATATATATATATATATATATATATATATATATATATATATATATATATATATATATATATATATACATGTGTGTGTGTGTGTGTGTGTACATATATAATTTCTGCAGTTGATTTTCCATTCGGGAATCGTAATATCAGAAGGAAAAGGAGAGCCATGCCTGTGATGAACATCTTTATTATTACGTAACGTTTCGAAGAGGTCTCTCTCCATCATCAGACTAAAACAGAAAGTACAAGAACAATATTAGATAAAATAAAAAGAACAGTGACAAAAATTGTTCATAACATAAGCAACAAATCAAATGGGTAACAAGTGAACAAAAAAGAAACAGAAATATTGTGAAAAAATGTAAAACCTGGGCGAGGATGAGACATACTAGACAGGTGGGAATTGCTAGTTACGATGGTTGAACTACATCGTAGACAACTGAATGGCTGTGCTATTGTTGAGATCAGGTTTCATCTTGTGGATGTACAGGGATTCTGAGATGAGAAGGTCAAGTTTGGTCGATGTTGTGGACAGAATTTTAA